CCCTGGAGCCGTCACAGCTTCCTCAGGACCGGCAGCGGTGGTGAGCTTGCCCGGCGCATCCTGCCGGGGGCCTGCGCGTAGCAGGCTCCTCCAGGGACCCCTTTAAAAAAACAAAACAAAACAGACCCTCACCTGACATGAGCTACTCAATCTGTCCAGCAGCACTGAATTTCAGATAATTACTGGAACCAGCTGCTTTTCTGCATTGATTAAATGGGACTAACATCAATGTGCTTTTTCTCCAAGTTTTCTAGACCTTTCTGAGCCCAACAACAACTCCTTTCGTGATAATTTTGTATTCTTTAGTCTAGGCCTGCTTCCAGGCAGGCCCCCAAAATGCAGTAACAGCACAGAATTCAATAGAGCTATAAATAAACCTCAACAATTAGATACCGTTTTTCTGCTTTAATGAAAGAGAGTATGCCTCAAGTTGGGGAGATGTTTTTTTGTGCTGGTTTCATTTTATTCAAAATGAATACTACTGAAACTGTCTGTTCTTAACCCCTGTTTTTGAGCTGTTTTCTTCCCATAGTAACTCCAACAGTGATACTCTGTGCATAGTCCAATATTGCCAGCTACTTAATTTCAAAGAGCTATGTATATTTTTAACCACGTGGCTGTGCTAGCAGTAAAGCCGAAGGATTGCTTTGGAAGCAGGTAACATAATGTCACCCTTGGCTTGCACTTATGCTTTATTTGCAAAATATTTCATGTAACTCCCTAAACAGAGTGTAGTCCCTGCATTAGTAACCTAATTTTTAGCTGTTTCAGAGACTACTGTTTAAAGTACAGTAAACAAAGGGAAATGAGGACTTTCTTTAAATGACTCCCTGCTTGTCAGTTTACTTATAAGCCTCTTCTGAGTTTAAAAGCAGTTTGAGGTGGTTGAAGGTTGAGCTGTTTATCTCTGTGTGAGGGACTACAACAGGAGAAGATGAGTTCCTTTGGACTTCATTTGCTTGTTAAAATACAAGGAGTCAGCATGACTTACAAAATAACTGAGCAAGTAAAAGAGAGATGCTATCTTGTGTTGCAGAGCTAAGGAAGAGCAGTCCCGCTGTTGGTAGACTGAGTTTTTTGAAAGGATGTTGGCAACCAGGTTGTCCCGGCCTCTCCTGAACTTCTCTGTGAAAGCCCTGAATGTCAGGGACCCAGGGAATGTCTTCAGGTAAGAAACTTGATGGAGGAGAAGAAAGAGTGAGATCTTGAGTAAAGCACATATTGAGGGCTCATGTGATTTCAGTGAAACTGTTTATTTGTAGGAGGTGGGTTCTGTATGCAAGTAGGGATTGGCAACGTGTTTTTTCACACTTGTACAGTCATCTGCAGTCAAAGGGTTGAGTAAAGTGTTAGTTCAATGTCTAGCAAGGTTTTATTCCTCCATATCAGCAGGTAGGCCTTGCTGCACTGCAAGGAACAGTCATATATTTATTTCTATGACTCCATTAAGGAGATAATGAACCATGTAAAATGAGGAGAGAAGGTTGAGAGGGAGGGTTTTTGTGAGAAAGGGAGGTGGGTTGAGTAACGAAGGAGGCTTTTTTTCCTAAACTTGAACCGAAAAATACCCACTTGGTTGTAATTCCTAGCTCTGAAGAAAATACCCCTTGTACCGGTATCTGAAGGGAACCCTACTAGGCCGAATTCATAGTAAGCTGAGTGCTTTCACTGGCTTTGTTTCAGAGTAGGGTTCCCAAACAGTACTGTGTGCACCACTAATTATACACAAGCCATTTAAAAATGGCTCATGGCCTACTAAGCAGGAACTGCCACCATCAGAGTGGTTCCGTTGCTATTGGTGGTAGTGTCCAGCACCATTGCTCTCAAGGGTGGTGCCTGTAACAGCGAGTTCTAAAGATCAAAGACAGAAAAGGCTATCTGCTGAGCAAGAGACCAAAGTTGCACTAGCAGGAAACTTCTGTAGCCTTGAAAATACAAATGAATATTGTATAAACTTGAGAAAAGAATTTTTAGCGTGTTCTTTTCTTTGCTTACTATGCATTTCTGCTTCTGGTACTCAGGTCTTGGTAGAGTGTTTTACGTTTTTTAACCCTCAAACTGTTAAATCTGAAATGGAAATCCAACTGGTCATCTGAAAGGCAGTGTTGTCACTATACCAATATCCTAATGCAGTGAGGAAACATTTGTATACTTAGTTGCTCAAGCTGAGAATTGCCTTTATTGGTGTAACTGACCGAAAAGCAAATGCATGATTACAAGGAGAGATTCAATTCTAATGACCATCTGTGCATTTTAAAGGTCTCAGTGGTGGATCTAGAATTCAGTCACGTAGAATGACAAAAAACGGTTTATGCTGCATTAATGTACTGTATGGGGGCTAACATCACATACATTTCTTAGGAGTTTCCTCTGATGACATTTCTGCTGATCAGTAGCCAGCATCTATTTTATTCCCTTATCTTCAGGTCCAGGTAGACAGAATGTCACGTAGTTATTCTCTGCAGGTTACCGTGATTAGAGAGCAGCAAATCAGTGTGTGAAATAGCAGGACCAGAGAAGACACTGAAAAATAAAAGTTAACTTCAGGCAACTAAAATGTATGTTGTGAGCATTTCTAGGCACCTTGAGATACAAAGAAACTTAGTGTTGAGATGAAAAAGACACAGACAGGTCGTGCCTGGAGACTGACCTCTGCAGCAATTAAATTGGCCATTGCTATTTCAAGAGTGGATAGGGCTTGTGACACTCAAAATTAATTAGAAAAAGAGGCGGACTGATGCAGGATACAGGTGAGTGGACTGTGTTGACTGAATGTAAATCATTTCCTTTCAACAAGGAATGCGTTTTTCTCATCTGGTTCAAAGCTTCTGCCTTGTTAGACCCTTTCAGCCTTGTTGTCCCAAGATGCAGCTCAGAGGCCAGAGTGCCTTCAGATTGCTGTTCAGTGTGGCTCAGGTCATCCTGGGAGCACCTCTGATAGCTGAGCGGGAGATAATTGTGAGCGATTAAGAAAGTTCACTCGCAAGGCAGAAGAGCCGCCTCGAACTTAAGCTCGGCTAAAGGGTAGATGTTGTCAGACAGACCAGAGGGCAGCAGCAAGTCTAGTGGAAAGTCAGAAGGCCGTAGAGGAGTGATGGGCAGTGCCTAAAGGAAAACACAAAAAGGTGACACAATCCAAACAGGTGACTGGCAAGGACAGATGGTAGGGTCATTCTGATGTATTATCTTGGCCCAGTTTTGATGAGTGATGGCAAGGCGTGAGAGAGCGTGATGCCACTGCTAGCGTAGCTTTTCTGAATAGGTGCTCATTTTCTGGAAAGCATTGTCGTTTCACTCAGATCTGCATTTGCAAACACAGTATATTTTCCTGAGAGTTAGACGTACTGTACAGAGGAGTTTCAAATCTACGTGGTAGGTATTGCTCAGAGCCATGGTGACCCTTAATTAAAACAGAGGGGGTATAAGATCTGTCTGAGTAGCTGCTGCGTACAGACACTGCAGAGGAAAAAGTATTATCCAAGGTGACACAAGGGTGGAGCTATATGTAAAGGCAATGAGATGGATCCAAGCAAAGTAAACCTAAGGGTGGGTATCAGAAACAATGCCACAGCAGTATACTTTCATCAGAAAAATGAATAATTTCCACTAAGCCAGCTTTGTATCACT